ACTGTGCCTTTCAAATAAAAAAATAAGTCTTTAACAACACAACAAAAAAAGAAGCTCAATGGAACAAAAAGTTTAAAACTCTATCAACTTTCATATTAGGCTTAGGGATCACAGAGACTTTATATGACCATCAGAAAATACCATATGTGGAAGAAGGGTTCAAAAAGATAATAATACAATAATACACTTTCAAGACAGCAGATGGAAACAAATACAATAATAATGCAATGTATTAAGGCCTTTGATAGCAAACACAATGTGCTAGTTTTATCAACTCTTTGAAATTTTATTATATATATTTTTAGCCATCAAAACAAAATTTTCATGCATATAAATGAAAAAAGACATTAATCATTCATTAAATTGAGTGTATATTAAAGAAATCTCAGGATAGGATTTTATTTGATTGATAGCATTTAGAACAGTGGCTGTACATGTATTTCTTTCATCACACTCCTTTCTCTGCAGTATATAAAAGAGAGAATGAGAAAATATAAGATGTGAGCTTTCATTATAGTAGGGTTTTTAGAATTTTCACAGCTGTGGGAAATGATATTTTTTTAAAAAATTACTTATTTGAAGCACAAAGTTACAAAGGGAGAAGAAGGGAGGGAAGTGGGGAGGGGAGAGAGAGAGGCAGAGAGAGAGACCTTCCATTCATTGGTTCATTCCCCATATGGCTGCAACATATGGGGCTGTCCAAGGCTAAAACCAAGAGTCAGGAACTCCACCTGGGTCTCCATGTAGGTGGCAGGAGCCAAGCACTAAAACCATCTTCCACTGCTTTCCCAGACACGTTAGTAGAGAGCTGGATCATAAGTGGAACAGCCTGGGGTTGGCATTGTGGTGCAGTGGGTTAAGCTACCATCTGAGACACCAGCATCCCAGTTGAGTGCTATATTTGAGTCTCAGCCGCTCTGCTTCCAATCCAACTCCCTGTTAATGCTCCTGGAAGGCAGCAGAAAATGACTCAAGTACTTGGGATCCTGCCACTCACATGGGAGATCCTGATGGAACTCATCTTTCCTGGTTTCAGCCTGGCCCAACCCCAACTGTTGCTGCCATTTGGCAAATGAACCAGTGGATGGAATCTCTCTCTCTCTATCTATCTCTATCTCTCTTTTCTTCTCTCTCTGTAACTCCGCTTTTCTAATAGATAAATGAATGTTTTCTTAAAAAAGAAGAAGTGGAGCAGCCTGGACTCCAACTGGTCTCATATGGAATGTCAGAATTGCAGGAGGTTTATCCTGCTACATCACAATGCTGGCCCTGAAAATAATATTTTGAGTATATAACTAGGAGACTTTTTTCTTACAAAGAAAATTTTAGTCAAGATGTAGAAAGTGTTGGTCAATTGTGCAGTGAAATTTAAGGGAAAAGAAGTTTCTATTATGTATATTTAAGTACTAATTTAAATCAGCTTAGTTCTATAAATGAGCAGCCACTGGAGTTATGAACACAATTTGTGCTTTTTAAAATTAAACATAATATTTTAGCTGAAATTCATCAGGAAAAACATAAATGTTCACATCCTATAACATTCTAGAAGATAACATGCCTTAGAAGATTGATGCCTACTTAATTTTTCTTTTCAAATTTATTATTATCATTAATTTTTTTATTTTTTTATTTTTATTTATTTATTTGACAGGTAGAATTATAGACAGTGAGAGTGAGAGACAGAGAGAAAGGTCTTCCTTCCGTTGGTTCACCCCACCAAATGGCTGCTACAGCCGGCGCTGCACCGATCCGAAGCCAAGAGCCAAGTGCTTCTTCCTGGTCTCCCATGCAGGTGCAGGAGCCTAAACACTTGGGCCATCCTCCACTGCCCTCCTGGGCCACAGCAGAGAGCTGGACTGGAACAGGAGCAACCAGGACTAGAACCCAGCGCCCATATGGGATACCGGCGTCACAGGTGGAGGATTAGCCAAATGAGCCAGCACGGCGACGGGCCCATCATTAATGTTTATTTATTCTCCTTTTTTTTATTTGAAAGTCAGAATATAAGGGGGAGAGAGAAGTCTTCCATCTGCTGAATGTCCAAATGTCCTCAACAGCCAGTGCTGAACCAGGCAGAAGCCAGGAGCTGGAAACACTATCTGCATCTCCCACGTTGGTGGTAGCAACTCAGTACTTAAGATATCATCTGCTGCTTTCCAGGTGCATTATCAAGAAGCTATATCTAAAGAAGAGGCAGAGGTGGCGCTGGATCCCAGGCACTCTGATATAGAAGGTAGGAGTACCAAGTGGTGCCTTAGCCAGCTGTGCCACAATGATCCCCGACATTTTTATTAATAATAACATGAAGGTATTAGCAATTAGATATTCTACCAGAGAAAAAGAATATTTGTATATATGTATACACAAATATATTTTTGTATAGGGTGTGCGTATTTAGAATATAGTGTAGTTTTTAATTTTATCCTTATGTATTCTATTTAATATATTACCATAGTGTGTATGTGTATATATATTATATATATATAGCAGGCTACAGAGCATATATTATATAGAAAAGTATATATTTTTATGTGTCTGATTATACAAAACATGTCACATTTTGTATCTTGTATTTTAATCATTCTTTTTGTGTCATAACATTTCTTTTATCATATTAATTCATATGGAACAATGTCTTTCTTTTACATTGCTGTAAAATATTTATTAACATGATTAGATTACAGTTTAGTTTGTGATCTGCTATTGATGGCAATTGCCATTATTTTCAATTTTTTAGTTTTCAAGCAATTCTGTAATGAATATAGTAGGTCTCCCTAAGCTACAGGAGATGCATTCCAAGACCCGAGAGGACACTTAAAACTGCAGATGGTACTGAACTGTAAATAGACTATTATTTCCTAGATTATAAAACTATGATAAAGTTCAATTCATAAGTTAGGCATGTAGGAGATTAATAATAACTAATAATAGAATAATTAAAATAATATACTATAGTGAAGTACCCAATATTATAGCAATGCATTACTGTTATACCATGAATATAATATAGTGAATATATGTGTATATAAAACAATGTATTATACATATTTTCTCTCAATTCTGATTTTTTCTATTTTGTGTTGCTTGTTTATTTTTTTAGATTTAATGTTTATAGAAAAACTGAGTTGAAAATATGGAGAGTTCTCATATGCCTCAACAGTCCTACCCCTACACACCCTCTTGCTTAATTTTAACATCTGGGTGGCATTTTATATTATCAGGAGTATTTTATTTTGATTTTGCCATATTCAGAAATCTTTCATTTAATAGCTATTGCTTATTTGCTCATTCTTTCCTACCCGAGGACTTTAATGTCCTGTATTTTCTCCCAATATTTTTCACTGGTTATTTTATGTGCCCTTTGTTCTGGCCAAACTTAACCACAGCTCTTTTCAAATTTTCCTGTCACCCCTGCCTCCTTTTCTCAGACTTCTAGTCATTTCCTTATTCAATCATAACGTCAGGACTATTTCTTATGTGAAGTGTTCCCTCATTCTTCCAGTTAGAAGTCATCTTCTTCCCTTGTTCTGAAGTTCAAATGTTGTTCTTAAAATGATTGAAAAATATTATGTTTGTTTCCATACATTACCTATATGAATAATTCTTGAGAATAGGAACTATAACTATTTTTAATGTCTATTTTTATTTATTTGAAAGGCAGAGGCCAGAGAGATAGAGATACAGAGATATGATGAGGGGGGGAAGAGAGAGAGAGTGCTATTTTCCATCTGCTGGCTCACTTCCCAATTCCCAGGACAACCAGGTTTGATCCAGGCCTAACCCAGGAATGTGAAATTCTATCCACATTTCCCATGTGAGTGGATGGGACTCGTGTACTTGGACCATCATCTATTACTTCCCAGGATGCACATTAGCAAGAAGTTGGGATGGAAGTGGAATAGATGGGACTTGAGCCAAACACTCTTGTACAAAATGCGGGATCACAAGTCGTGGCTTCATCAGTGTAACACAGTGCTCACCCTCGGATTTATAAATCTTAAAGCCCCTAACGTGTCCCATTCAATGATTCAAAAACTAGATTTACAATTAAAGCTGACAAACAGAAAGAATTTTTGTTTAGTTTGGATAACATAATTCTCAGCTAAGACACAAAGAGTTATTTTCAAATACTTAAACACCTATCCTATGTTAAAGGTATTGAACTGCTCCTACATGGACAATAGATGGTTGCAAAGGACAGAGATATTTTTCTCAATATAAAGAAAACATTTTTGGCAAGTACAGTTCTGTGAAAACTGAATGAACACATACAAGAGTGATTTGATGGCCAGCAGAAGTGTTGAAGCTGAAAAAGTATATTAATACTTCCTCAGAAGTCTTTTTCTATGCACAGTAAGCCTACTGTATATATAAATAAGCTATCAACCACATTTGCCTGCTTTGTAAATTTCAGTTTTGGTCACTGATTTGACATTGGTGATCCTACCCCAGTCTACCAATCTACGGTATACTCAACTTCAGGGACCATGACATTTGTCTTTAAATTAGACTTACTTTTTATTTACCATAAACCTTAGGATATCTATCATGTTATTTTTACTACTAAGATAGATGGTTTAATTTATATTTTTGGATGAAAACTTAGAGGTTAAATTACTTTTCAAGGGATTCAATATTAACTCTATTCAATTGCCACACCTTACCTATAAAACTAATAAATACACATGCTATGCAGTAAAATATGCATAAATTTCATGCACAATGCACATTTTACTAAATTTACTCATTTTGCAAATATTCCTACCAATTTCCATGTCAATATCAGCCACATACTTTCTAAAAGAGACACAATTAATGTGTTACAAACAGAATAAAATAAAATTAACAAATAAAAACCACGGACTTCAAAGCCTATCTTCCTTACATTTTCTGATTTAGATTATAAAATAAATAGCAGAAATAACTTCTCATCAGTTATGTATGTTGTTCTGCACATGGATAAACTTTAGTGAATGTGAAATAAGGCATAAGGAAAGCCATTCTTTTCAGATAGAAATGTGTTTATTATCCAAGAACCAGGCATGTTTCCAAAATCAAAATGCAACAATTCAGCAAAGCTAGACTAACACTAATCATGAGGCAGCTATAAAAGTATTTTATCATTCTTGTTACAAACAATTGTTGTGCTTTATCTTCTTCTTAGGCTTTCTCCTAGGCATTCAGGACAAAAGTCAAGTGCCGGTTGATCCTATGTTTTATGGCTTCTTTGGAAGAAATTTGCTGAAGTCTTCTGTTTTTGAGTTCCAGTTGGCCATGGCTATTTGCACTTGGTTTCAATAAGTCAGTAGGGAAAGGATGAAAAAGCACAGTTCATTATGTTTCATATAATGTTATCTCTCCGCTCATTAGCAAGGTGCTAGTAAGGCAGCTGAAAAAAATATTGATTAAAAGCCAAACCTCCTGAAAGAACTGGCATTCTAGAATAAGCTCTGAAGCAAAAGTGTACCCATCCATCAAGGAAAGGTAGCTGATGATCATACTGGCAGGTAAGGGACAATGATGCTTACAGTAAAAAGACCAGCAATGGCTATATTTCATGTGGCATCTGCTCACTGACTCCAGAAATATTACTACCTATAGGATCAGACTTTAACACAAAGACTATTAACAAAGCAATAGAATAAAAGCTAGCAGGTGGTAGTGCCTATGGTTATCAATCCCTGGAGTTATATATGAGGCTAATATGATAAGGTTCTTCAGATGCATAAGGTAATTTGCAGAATGTTAGAGATTCTTACTTCACAGAATTGGGCAATTTCTAGCTGCTGTAAATGCTTTTTGCTGGTCAATAGCAATTCAGAGGTCTGCTACCACTGCATAAATATCTCAGAGGTGGAAAGGTACTAGGTACACAGCTCAGAGATGGCAAATTTCTACGTAAACAGCTTAGAGGTTGGCGCCTTGTCAACCCATAACTCGGATATCGGCAATTTCTCACTAAGTAGCTTTGGGGTTGGTAGCTACTGGCAATATAACATGATGGTGAGAAGCTACTGGGTACAAAGCCACGATTTTGGTAGGATCTGACCCCCGAGTTCTCCAGTCCACAGTAATTTAGAGGCCAAAGACTCTTGTGTGAGTAGTTAAGTTGCCCAAGGGAAGTAGAGAAATGGCGAAGTGTCTGGCAGCCTTTGGATGCGTATTGAGTGAGTGGGTAGCAACGGGATACATACCCCTTAGCTTGAGTGCCTGGGCAGCAGCTGGGGGTAGGTCTGATATTGGTGATTTCACAGGCAGTGATGACTTGGCCTGCTGATGGGGAGTTGCAGGGCCCACAGGAGTTTGGCGGATCACAACTTGTGTCGCAGGTCTTGGGCTCACAGCTCGGAGATTTGCAGCTTGGTACTTCACAATAGGATTCTTGGCTTTGATCCAGGAGCCAGAGATCTCCTTGACAGCTACTGGGTAAGCAGAGTTCAAAGGCAGGGCTTACTTTTTCAGAAGAAAGAGGAGCAGAAGTTGTTACCGGAATATAACAATGTGTTCTGTAGGATGTGGCACCGCCAAATGCAGGATAGCCTAGAAAGGACATGGTGCCCGACTGCATGTCAGTGTGAGCTGGGCAATTATGGTATGGCTGTGGCCAGAGCACATTTATATCTTTCCTTGGGATTCCCAGGAGCCTCTCTCTCTTCCTTCTCTCTGTATTATTGTGGGAAAAAACACAGTAACATCTCATTAACACTTTGTTTAGCCACAGCTGCTGATGTCTTCACACTCATAGAAAAGTAAATATTTTGTTTCTTTGAAGTATCCATCATTGCTACTTTAACACCACTGGTCATTCATCATATATAGACGATAGCTTTGGCAAATAGTGATTTCAATGTTAATAGGTGAACTCTCATCTATCAGTCAGCAGTTAACAAGAGTTCATGTGTCCATGGGCTTCAGCAGCATGGTTATTAAAAGGCTAACAAGAGTACAAGTAAAAGAGGAACATATATTTACCCCATTTCTGGCAACTGAAAAAGACTACAGAATTTCATTATCCTCTGAAATAAGCTCCATATTTTGGGCTTCTCAACCTTGTTACTCACAAGAGGGGATAAAGCATGGCCCTATTAAAAACAAGAATTGATTTCCCCAAAAATGTGCTACACTCTTACCTGTGCTAGGCCATATGCTAGTGGCAACTTCTCGTATGGTGTGTTTGGAGATTTCCATACACAAGAGTTACAGCAATCCCAGTGAACTCAGCGACCCACACTGGGATAAAAAAAGAACTTGCTCTCATGGGTCAGTGGTTGCTAAGCAACCAGAGCCTCTACGAATTCCTTTTCTTGAAGAGTTTCTGCAACATGTAATATCAAAGACCAGTTTCTCAAGATTGTACTTTCCTAGTTGACAGATTATATAGCATGTGTTCCATTGTCTCTGCTGTAACTCAATTGTTATCAGATACATATTTTCCTCATTTTCCCCCAGCTAAACTTTACTTTTGATTTGCTTTCTTTTTCACATAGACTGCATTTCATCCCTGTGTTGAACAATGCAGTTATTTTTAGTCTATGTCAACAAAAGAGAATGACTGTGCTTAAAAATTTTATTTGAATATCCTATATGGTTCTTATATGCACTGTATATTTTTAATACTACTTTGAATTCCTTAGGGTGAATGCTGAAGTAATTTCTTTAAGATTTTCCTTTAAACTGAAGATGACATTTTGTTATTGAAAATATATATTGTAAGTCATACTTACAGTTTCACTGAATTGAAAATAGCAATGTGTTTATTAAAAGTGATAAATTCAGACAGAACAGTACTGACTGCTGCAGCAGGATGAGATGAAGGGATTGCGGGAAAATGCACTGTCCTTGCAGAAGACAGTTAGATTTCCCTTGAATTTTACTGCTTCTCAGATGGATGTGTAAAATATACAGCGATGTAAACCTATAGAGATTCTTCAAACTTTATTTTTTTAAACTGAGTTTTCCCAGTGTATCTCAGTATTTATTCTGTAAAGAAGGTGACAATCAGCAACTCTTCATTGAACGTATTTAGTTGTCTTCTAGAATTTGTCTCAGGTGAATAGGGTCATGGTTAGGGAAGTATCTTTTTAGCAAATTGTTTACCTGTAGGGAGCCTTGTTATTTTGCGCTGAAAATTTCAGTCTTAAGGTAGGAAAATAGAAAAGAATACACACAAAGCCGCTGGTAACCAACCTTCCACTAAGTTATCAAATCTAGGAGTACATAGAAAAGCTCAGAACCCAGTGGAACTTAATTTCTGCATTTCTCTGTCACACCACTGTTATTTCTGGCTTTTTAGTTCAGTTTCCTTGTAGCAGGTCTGAGGAAGAACAACAAAAACAACAGAATAATTCAGTCAGTTGTAAAGCCCATATGCTCCCTTTCTATCTTAGCACTAAGTACAAAGATATAGACAAGTGTAGATCCAACAAATTAATGTTGAACATTGTATAGCATAACTCATATTCATATCATGAGTTTTATAATGTATCTAAAATTTTGGTATGATAATATTCTAAACAAATGGATTTGCAAAAGCAGAATTAATTTAACTCATCTCATTGCTTTTTAAAACATTTGAATTAATATAAAGAGAACAGATTTCATGTATTTAATAAGTACAATTCTAATTTAAGCATACTTACCTCTCTTCTTCTCCCTCCATCCCCTTTCTTTATTTGTTTCTTTTTTCTTTATTTTTTGATTTGTTTTTATGTTTTCTTACTGACTCAGTACATCAAACTAACATGTATCCATGCCCCCTATTCACACCACTATTTGCTAAAATTACACCTCTACAGAATTTTCTTTAACTTTAGTCTTCATCAGGTTCATTACAATGGTGGCTTTAGCAGAAATTAAAGACCATTGTTATTTGGGTGACAATGTTTTCTAAAGGCATCAGAGAACATAAGCCTCAATCTGTTTTCACTTAATTCCTAAAAGGATCATGCCTTCCTTTCATTTCCCTATTTTGAGTGCTTCCCATGTGTGGAATGCTAAATATTGTCTCAAAATCCACCCACCTAAGATGCCCATTTCTTAATTTGGGGAACAAAAATTACAAACTAAAATTTTCTACCTGATATGGCAAAAGGAACTTTTTGTGCTTGGTTAAAAAATTTTGTGCTTGGAGAAAAAAAAAAATCTGTGTTAGGCATTGTATATAACATTGTTTATAGGTTTTTGAAGTTGATTTTGGGCTCTGATATTCAGAACTCGGAGATAATACATTTCTGTTGTTTTAAGCCATGGAGTTTTGTGGTAGATTTCTTACAGCAGTCACAGAAAATTAATACACTGTCAGAAAAATATAGACAAATATGATAGATGCTCTTTAAGTAGCTTGCGGAGTTTATGTTCTAGATGTAGGGCAAGTTTTAAATGCAAGCAATAAGCTTTCTCACCATCAGATAAGTCAGAGAAATACTCACGCAATCTTAGGAATAAGACACAAACTTCTCTTTAATGACCCAGTAGCTTCCTGTCTACTCATTAAAATAGAGTTATGGAACTCTTTTTCCAATTTCATCCAAAGGTTAAAATCCTTAAGGATAAACAGAGAAGATGAAAAAAAGCTAAATTTTATGGTAAGTGGTTCTTAAAGAAAATAATGGTGAACAACTTCTAGACTTTTGGGTCACAACAAAATTTGCCTTGTATTTTCTGTCCTAATTCTACTTGCTAATGTTCCGTTAAATGATGCAAAAATGATTTCATGCTTTATGAAGTAAAATGCATGCAAATCGATACTGACATAGCAATTGAATTATAAATATTGAGTCAAAATGATTCCTGAAGTTAGCAGTACTAGCCTAAAATGTTGACCATTTTTATTTTACTTAAGTCAATGGATAAAATATCATTAACAACTTGAAAGAATGAAGAGTGATAGCCAAAAATCTGAATTTTAGGGAACAAAAGTTAATGAATATAAATATTTCTAAAATAATAATGCAAGTTAGTGGAACAATAGGAAACCTACTTTGATTCATGCTTAACTTTGCAGGGAAAGATGCTATATAATGAGATACAGCTGTATTAAGAATTAAACATTTTGAGGCACAGGTGTTTTGCCTTGCAATTAAGATGCCTACATCTCATATCTGATTGTCTGAGTTTGATACTTGCAGTTGAATTCTGACTCTAGCTCTCTGCCAATGCTGACCCTAGAAAGCAGCAATGACAATTCAATTAGATTCCTACCACTGATGTGGGAGACTTGGAATATTCTTGGCTCTGAGCTTTAACCCTGGCCTACCTCTGGAGGTTATGAGTATTTGTGCATATGAACCAGTGGATAAGAGAGTTCTGTCTGTATGTCTGTCTCTCTCTGCCTCTATTTTCCTTCAGCCTCCCTCTAAAATAAAATCTTGAGTTGGGACAACCAGGATTTGCCTTAATGAGTTATGAGTCACTCTCTTACAGAGCACCATTTAAATATATTTATTAGTGTGTAATCTTGAGCACCATTTGGACATATTTATTAGCATGTAATCTTGAACAATTGTTTTTTCTAAGTACTTCAACAGCACATTCTAATGTAAAGCTAGAACTAACAGCACATAATTTGTAGGACTGTACTGGAGATGGAATGAGATAATATGTGTGAAAATACTTAGGGAAGTGTATGGCATATAATAAATGAGAATTAAATACTACTTTTCTAATTTTTAAAGCTCTCATTTAAGGAATTCTAGCCACCAATTAGGCTAAAACATTATTATTAGTTTACTTTGATTTTGCCAACATACAATCCTATACTAATCATTGTCTCTTCTCAAATTTTTCACTGAAAATGAACAGTTCTACACTATGTAGTTAAAAAAATTCCTTCTTTGGCAACAGATCACTAATGACTGCTCTCATATAATCCATATTCCTCTGCATCATGTGTCATTATCTAGCTTCTGGGAGGCCACATATGTAGTTTTTAAGAACAAGGGCTCAACACTCAGATTTCTTAGCTACTGATTCTATCCCTGATGTTCAATAAAGTGCCAAATGTTTCTGTCACTCAATTTCCACATTGTCAAAAGGGAAGGATGGTATTTTTTCTTGTAAGTTGGCTGTGAAGAATAAATGACTTAGTCTACATATAATAGGAAATATAGTTATGTATAGTTGATGCATATATCTTTAAAATTTATTTGTTCTATTTTAGTTATGTGAAAGGCAGAGAAACAAAGATACAGAGTAACTAATAGACAGATAAGACAGAGATGTCCTGTTGCTGCTTTACTCCTCAAATGCCTGCAACTGTTGGGACTGGGCTAGGTTAGGGTCAAATGATAAGAAAGGAATTTAATCCAGGTCTCCCAAATGGGAAATATGAATCCAACTACTTCAATCATTATCTTTGCCTCCCTCAGTGTACATTAGCAGGAAGGTGGAACCAGGAGCTGAGTTTAGACACAGCCAAGACAATCCAGATGCCAGCATCCTAAGTGGTGTCTTAGCCACTGTGCCAAATGCCTGCCTTTATGTAGTCAATATTTTGATGTTAATTTTTATCATTATCATCAATCTGTAATCTTTCTTACCATTATTACTGAATATTATTTTCATATCATTATTGGATCTCACCTAAAACCCACTAAGTCTTGTATAGGTGCACCAAAAATGATAAAAGGAGAGAGGAAGAAATGAGGGAGGGGTAGAAAAACAGCACAATAGGCTATTTTGGCTAGATAACTATCATCTAATAAGTTATGTGTGGATCTTAGAAATTCAATTTGGAAAAATTAAGCAAGTTTATAGTAGTTCCTGTCATGTATAAGAAAAGTAAACCTTTCAAAGAGGACAAATGGGTTGACACCAATGAAGTTAGTCCTCCTAGACAAAAAGAGTAGCTTGGGTCTGTGGCAAAGATGGAATCATTTTCCATTTTAAATAAGAAGCTCTATAATTGAAGATCATAGTCACTGAGATATTGACAACTTGTGAGTGGCTTCCATATTAACATCACTTGGATGAAGAAAACTGAAGATAGTACAGAGGATAAAACATGTTTTTGGAATCCAAGTCATGTGGGTCATTGGACACATGCTTCACCTATTTGAGTTTTCTTACCTGTAAAAATGAGGAGAAAAATATCTTTCCATAGGTGTTTTGGGATGGTATTGACCATAAAATGGTACACCTCGATACTACAGGTGATCAATATGATTGGGATATAAAAAGTTGCTTGTGAGAAGAACAAGTTTCCATTGAGTATGTGGAGGAACTGAGTTAATCACTTACATGATAGATACAACAGAGAACCAGATTCCTAGCAATAATGACATCCTCTGTGCAAGTATCTATGAAGGAGTAGGGGAATGAGAATGATTTTTTAAAAATATTTATTTATTTATTTGAAAGAGCTACAGAGAGAGATGACGAGGCAGAGAGAGGGCAATCTTCTAACTACTGGTTTATTCCCTGGATGACTGCAAAAGTTGGGACTGTGCTAAACCAAAGCCATGAGCCAAAAGTGAATTCTGGGTCTCCCATAAGTGTAGCAGGAGCCCAAACATTTGGGCCATCTTTCACTGCTTTTCCGTAGGCCATTAGCAGGGAGATGGATTGGAAGTAGAGCAGCCAGAACATGAATGGCGCCCATATGGGATGTTGGCATTACAGGCATCAGATTTCTCCAATAAACCATAATGCCAGTCCCCAGAGAATGACTTCTTAAGTTTAATTGTGAGGCAAAAAATAATGTTGCTCTCTCCATCGTCCAAATTAAGGTTTATGGTTAATCCCTAAGGTAGGATGGACATTGTAACTTGCTGTGCTGGATAGTAATTTAGAAGACATATATAGAACTGGTGTACAATTAGTTCTCCATGCTATTTTCCCTTTGCTTCTACTGGCAGTATTCCCAGAATCAGAATGATGTTGGTGCTGGCATAATGAATGTGTAGTATGAGTGATAAATAGACTATTGCAATTTTAAGCACCTGAGATTTTGGAGTTGTTTGTTAACAGTGGCAAAACAGTCTATTTTGACTAAAAACATTCATAATTTTTACTTGTTAGAAAATACAGGTGCATATTTAATGTTCAAGAAATATGACATATTCAAGTAGGATTTGAAAAAAATCCATCCTTTCTACTTTATTCAGGCACTCCTTTTCTTTCTTTAAAATATCTGCTTTGTAAAACTAAAAGTCCTTAACTGGGGTTGGCATTGTGGATTAGTGGGCATAGTTGCCATCTGCAAGGCTGGCATCTCATATGACTACTGGTTGAAGTCCCGACTGCTCCACTTCTGATCCAGCTCCTTGCTAATGGCCTGGGAAAAGCAGCAGCAGGTGGCCCAAGTGTTTGGGCCCCTGCCGCCTATATGAGATACCTGAAAGAAGCTCCGGTTCCTGGGGAATGAACTGGTAGATGTGAGATTCATTCTCTCTCTTTCTCTCTCTCTCTCTCTCTCTCCCTCTTTCTCTCTCTCTCTCTCTCCCCCTTCTCTCTCCATCTCTCCCTCTCTCTGTCTGTAATTGTGCCTTTCAAATAAATAAATAAATCTTCATAAAACAAACAGGATAATAAAGAATTTAAACGTGATATAATCTAAAGGTGATATAATTTGAAGCAAATGTATTTATAAATAATCATTAAAAGTTTTCTTCTTGGTTGAGAACTTATTAATGGTATAGAAGTCAAGAAGCATTGATAGTGGAAATGTATAACTGAAGAAATGAACAATTAAAATCACTTAAAATTTAATCCAGTAAAATGATACAGATTATAACAGTGACAACTAGAAGCAGGATGATCCATCAACCTAAGAGCAAGTCATCATCTGAAGGATCAGATTTCTTTACAAACCTGCCAGCCATGATACTGAGATGATATTCAGCATGATTTTCTAAACAGAGGTCACCAACTCCCAAAGGAAGAGTAAGCTGGTTGTGAACTTATGTACATGTAAGAAACAGATTGGAAGCTATTAGAGAGTTCAAGGGTCTGAGGCTTTTGGACACATGTCCTAGAAGTTGGACAACTATAGGAAAGAAAGCTATAAGGATGAAGGTACTAGATACAACATTTAGTGTTTGATAGCCACAATAATAGAAGCTAACTGGCTGACAGAAATAAGAGAGAAGTTTGGGGTAACAGCTACTATTGGACAAATAGTTCTGAGGTATGTCATGCATTGATGGTTGGCAATAACAAGAGAGGTGTAAATGAATGGGAAAACAGCTACTTGCTCAGCAGTGTCTGGTGACACAGTAAGTACAGGCAGGATAGCAAGAAATTTCAGATTGTGGGAACACACGAAATGATGGTAGATAGAAGGTTTATTGGAGCGGTTTTTCAAAGTCAAATTTGGCATTGGTTGTGCAAGCACAGATCATCAACATGTTTCACAACAGAAGAATAAAAGCTTAGTGGATTAAAGTGACAGGAACTTGGGAGTGACTTCTAAGAGTGAGGGCTGGAGTAATGAGAATATCAGATGTTGGATAACATGATAGAGTCTGAAGTAAGTCTTTCAGATAAGTAGGAAATAGCAGCTTGTTTAAAACTAGAACAGATTGCTTATGTACCTTAATGGGTAAATGTCTAGACTCCACTCCTCATATTTTGATCAATTTGCAACATAACTTTCCATTAGTTCATTGTTGTGTCACCTATGAAAATGGCTTCCAACTCAACCATAAACTAAATACAGTGAGAATCTTTTATGTGTTTGCAGTCATAAGTTTTCCCATTTATCAGTTTGAGAATTGGTGATATAAACACCTGTGTATTTTATCTGCTTCGCTTCTGTTCCTACCTATCCATAATTCTTGGTTAAAAGGATTCCATTTGAGTGAATGTTTATCCCATCCATTCATTATTCACCAGGAGCAACACAATTAGGAATTATGGCCTTCATCTTTGAAGAAGGGAGATAATCCTGTAATGCTTGGAAGAAGTGTTGATATCCTAAAAATATTTTCATATATCAAAGCGTAATGAATTTTCTATATAGAAAATCTCATACCATTTCCTTATGTTTATACTCAGTTGAAAATCTAATTAGTGATGTTACTGTCTGTACAATTGTCTTTACAATCAATTTTAGATATTATATGTTTATGTATGTACATATGTAATTTTAATTGGGGGGAGGGGAGTAATGGTGGGAGAAAGAGAGAAATATCTTCCATGAAGTGTTTCACTACCAAAATGCCTGTAGCAGCAATGAGATAACTCAGGCAGAGGCCAGAAGCAGGGAACTTTATCCAGCTCTTCCACATGGGCAGCATTGACCCAAGTACTTGAGCCATTATCTACTGCCTCCCAGGGTGTGCATTTGCAGAAGTCAGTGTTAGAACCAAGACACCCAGAAATGGGATGTGGATACTTCAAGCAGTGTCTTATATAAGTATCTTAGAGTACATTTTTAAGGAGCAGCACTCTGAAAACTGATAGTTTTCTTATTTAGAATTTGAATGTGATTTTGAAAGCCTTGGGAGAATGTATGTGCTATTTCTACAGGGTAACACTGAAGATGTATTTACTTTTATTGAAAGAAAATCATGCATTCCTATTAGTGGTTTCAAATTAAGGGGAAAAACATGATAACAATAGGCATCTACTTCTGCAGTAGCATTCCAGAATTGATAGATAACTTCCCATGAGTCTATTTAGTAAGAAATTTTTGAAAAATATTTACTTATTTGTTTGAAATGCAGAGTTACAGAGAGGCAGAGGCAGAGACAGAGGGGTCTTACATCCAGTGGTTCACTCCCCAAATGGCAGCAACAGCCAGACTGAGCAAATCCAAAGCAAGGAGCTTCTTTTGGCTCTCCCATGTGGATGCAAGGGCCCAAGCACTTGGGCCATATTCTACTACTTTCTCAGGCCATAGCAGGGATCAGAAGTGAAGCAGCTAGGATTTGAACTGGTGCCCATATGGGATGCCAACATTGCAGGAGATGGCTTTCCCCACTATGCCACAGCGCCAGACCCTTAGTAGGGTATTTTATTCATCATGCAATTAAATAGAGCAAGAGTTAGGCAAGGTTTCAATATTGAATAAAAGTTTCTGAAGAGTGCTTACCTGGAAACATGGAAAGTACAGTTTCTGGCCTTATTTTGGATTCTTCCACCAAAATGTGATTGTTTATAGACATCTATTTTCTGAAATCACTTTCTTCCAGAACCAAAAATCTCTCTTCTCAATTTTCTTACAAGTTGATCAAAGGTGATGAAGTTGATAATTCATGGAGGATAGTAAAGATTCTGAGTAGTCATATGTCATCTCAGAACATTCTTGATGTTTATTTTGTTGGATAATCTCCTTTGCTCGATAGTCTCATTGTCCCTGCATTGTTTTTTGGAGATTCTAGAAGGCACACATACATCTTTCCTAAGGAAAGATACTGAAAAATACTTGTAGAACTTTTCAGGAAAAGTCAAGAGATTGTACACACCCATGCTATCGTACACAGAGGAAGAGAAGGGGGAGAGAAAGAGAGAGAGAGAGAGAGAGAGAGAGAGAAACACTAGTGAATTAATTTTTATATTATATTTACTTATCTTTTAAGATGTCAATAAAATATGCAATATGATATAGATGTAATGTACTTCTGAATTTCACCTTTTGTATTTCATACAGTGGACACAATGTTTCATATTTCACATTGGGAATTTTCAAAGTTGGTATACTGCATTCTTAAAGAAAGCCTGACATCATTTACTCCAGTGTGTAACCTGTTGGTGGTAGAAAATAATAGAAGGGGTTGGAGTCAGTGAAGGTAGACATAAACCTAAGAAATCTACGTAACATTTTCTCGTGTCTTCTGAGAACTTTATCCAAGATAAATGAAGTCTTTCAAATTCATATATATATATATATATGTGTGTGTGTGTGTGTGTGTGTGTGTAGATATATTTCTAAAGAAGTTTCCTCCTCTCACATTGATATCTCCCAACAGAAATATTGTACATATGTGCCTCCCCTAAATTCCTTAATATTTAGTTCAAGCTTCTTTTTACTTCTTTTATTCTTTGTGAAGTTTCAAATCAAGTGATAGTCAACTAGTCTATAAAATCTCTTCTTCAGCATGTAGGTATGGTATATAGCAGTTTCAAAAAGAAAACAAAAATCTTTCCTTAGACCATAGTGAAATTAGATTTGGTCTCTAAAGTAATGCTATTGAAATGTGTATGGTAGTCAGGGAACCTTAGGGACTAGGGGTATCTAACTAAATATGACCCCATCATTAATCATCAGAAATTAAAGTGTAAGTTAGGTGCAGGACATACAACTGAGAGAAGACTGGGATCATCAATCAATTGCTTATATTTTGATGACAGATGAAGGAGAAGCCCAATACACATAGCTAGCTGGTATGTGTCCTAATTTACTTAATTGTCATTTATTCTTCTTTTCTTTTTTTATCTTTTATTTAATGAATATAAATTTCCAAAGTACGACTCATGTGTTACAATGGCTTCCCCCCCCATACCGTCCCTCCCACCACAACCTCCCTTTCCCACTCCCTCTCCCTTCCATTCACATCA